ATATTTTTTGTGATCATTTCTGTTTCTTCATTGTTAAAATCAATGACGACTCAACTAATTTAGTAATTTGATTTTCCCTCAAAGACGTAATCTGTCACTTGATGAATCAAAATTTTCATTTGCACTCTTTTTCGAGAGGGGTGCTCGGGTAAGCGCCCACACCTAAAAAATCAGGATTTTCTGAGTTGAGGCCCCTGGGCGCTAACGCGGTCGAGTACGGTATATCTACACTTAAAATTGTAAAGTACTGTTGACTATCTAATACAATTCTGCTCCAATTTATTTATATGACTTGGTTGACTGTTATGAACCGGGTCATAATGGCCTCAGGTCATCTAACACTGATATTTTGTTATTGAAAAGACAAGATGTACTGTACAAGATGTAATGTACCACAAAACCATATGGTTGGCGTTCTTTTAGCAATTATGCCCCCCCCCCCCCCCCTTTTGTGGAATGAACTTCTACTTCCCATTCATCAGTCAATAAATATCAATGTTTTTAAGAGAAATCTGAAAACTCATCTGTTTAGAAGACAGTTTAAAGCGAACCTAAATGCGGCCTTAATTTATAGTTGTGTATATTCTAAACTGTATTTGAAATAATATTGCAGTGGTTTAATTTTGTTTTAATTATAACTGTAGCTTGGATAGGCATTTGAAGTGCTTGCAATTAAACACCATGGAGGCCATTCATGGAGGGGAATAAATAACGAACGAACATATTTAACATCCGGGTACTTTTCAAAGCTATGACGTTTTAGTATCTGATCACATTCGTATACGCCATTGTACAGAGCCGTTCATGCTGCCAAGCATTGTGTACTACTAGTATAAACTCAACTTTTATATGCACAATGTGCTTTTTAAAACTTGGGTTAGAGCCTTATGCGTTTGAACCACAGTATTCTGAGAGTGAAAGCCCAATTGCGTTAAAGTACCGTACTTCCTCGATCGTAAGTTCCTCTCGAGTATGAAGCCCATCCCTATATTTTTACTTGGTATTTATCGAGTTGAGAGCATTCACGATTATAATATGCATGTAAAAGGTGTGTTTCATTTTATAATAATCGTGAATGGCATGGTAGTTTGGTTCATGCTTTTAGTTTTATGAGAAAACTCGCATGGCGAACGTACACAACGTGGTTCGCATGCTTTCTATTCTGTCATTTACTCAGGATGAACCCCGATGTTGCAATTCTGGAGTAGCTTTCGAAAAGTCAAAAATGTGATCGTTAAGTCGTGTACCTGGTTATTGGGCATGGTTTACTTTGAGACTATCATGAAAGGCCTAGGGTTTGAACGATGAGACATGTTGGCGACCGAGAAAGGTGTTTAAATTCTTCCTCCACACTCAGTTTACCCACGGTTACTATTAACCGTCATCTATATTTCGGAAATTGC